CCCGATTTGAGTTCATCTTTTCCAGCCTCGCCTTTATCTGTTACATGCATCTGGGCTCACTGTGAGCGATGTAGCTGGGGAATACTACGCAGTTTGGAAATTCAAATATCCATGCACACGCAGTCTCTATCATGCAAATCTGTACCATTGTACTGTCATATACAGACTGCAGTGGCACAAAAGAAGCTTGTGCAAGATCACCATCATTACAGTAATATCAGTGGAGATTAGGAAGATGTCTCATCATCCTTAGAAAATCATCTTGGGTGCAGCAGTTATTATGTGGGGGACTGAGAGATCATTTCATCAAATCTAAATCTCCTTTAATGATAGGCATATCAGATTTAAGAGTTGGCGTTCAGCGGTTGCCACTTGGACGTTCTCTTCATAATATTTAGCTCAGTCACACGTGGTGGTCTTCCTCTTTTAAAAGCCTCCGATTTACATTTCAACATGGCTTGTTCCAACCAACTCGGACTGCAAAATTTATGAGTCAGCTCTTAAAGTCTCTGTCCTGCTGAGCTCTCACCACAGACACCCCCCTCTACCGCCATCCAAACCGTCCCCCGACCAGACACACTCAGTTCACCCATGATACAGATGCTACCTAGCCATTAAATGAACAGTCTCTATCTACTGCTCAGAGGCTTTAAGAGGGAGAGGGCAAAGTTATGACTGTATTGATTCCACAGGAGAGTAACCTTGTGAAAGAATTATATTCTATTCTATTTTAGAAATGTATCAAATCAGAAGTTTTATTTGGTAGTCCTGAAATATTTTCTGAAAATAACTGTACAACTATATATTTATATATATTCGACTGTTGAACAAAACAACATTTTAAGACCTTCTCAGGGTCTGGGAAGTTGCAATGGCCATTTTGTTTGCTTATTCCTGAATCATTAGTTACAGCTCTAGTTGCATGTGGCTCACATTTGATTTATTTTTGAATAGTAATGTGGCTCCATTGTTATGCAAAGTCCATTTGTATTTAAAGTCAAAAGCACATAGTATCCCTACACTTTAAGACACTAAATTGGACACTTTCATTTGAACCCAGTTTCAGACAGAAGGTTTAAATTAAAGTTATACTAACAATTCATCAGCTATTATGACATGGGATTATGATATGTCATTAAACATATGCAACCTATGAACTCAAGACAATATTCTGTACATTTTCAGTGTAAGAAAGAAAGGCACAAAGGAAATACCAGTGTTTCTTTCTGTTAATGGCACTGAAATCTAACCTTAAAAGGTGTATCTGATCACATTCTGGTGTGCTTTCAGTGCTTAAAAGTAGATGTCAGACATAAGCCCAGCTGCTATTTGATTCTAACTTGAAGCAACTTCAAAGCCTTAACACCATTTCCGCCTATTTCTCCATCTTTGTGAGTGTAATTGCATTGAGAGCAGGGCCATCAGACGCTACTCTATATTCCCATCAGCGGAAAGCACTTGGAGTTCTAAATCCCCCAAAACCTTCTAGAGGATTTGTCTCAGGAATTTTGACTGCTTTTCTTATCAGGTGTTATCAGGAAAGCCTGAACCTTTGAACTCCTCCTCATTCATGCACCTGTGGGAAGAACCATTACGAGCCTTTTTCTGATGTTAGACCATATGACACTGTTTCCAGTGGTAAATACCTGGGCTGTAGTCACGTTGTTAGCTATCCTTCCAAAGCAGTAATCCCATTTGCACAATGGTTTGTTACACAGAACTATCTGGGAAGTTGTTGTTGGTTTGGAAAACGGCAGACACTTTAAAAAGGTACTTGGCAGGTGATTGGATGAACCATCAAAGTCTATCAGAGGCAAACTTCAACCAATCAGATCAACAAACCATATATCATAGTCAAACTCTTACTGAAGCCAGCGGGGGGAAGACAAACACATCTTTTCCATCGCAAAAAGCCTTCAGTGCTGTTCTTTGTTCCTCCAGTTCTGATAGAACTGATGCTAGCAGCATCTACGATAACCTCTTCAGCAGTATTTTTATTTTTGATCGAACTCCAACTCCTGGAACGTCGTCGCACACCCCTAGTCTTAAATCACGCCCTCAGCTCATGGTGTAGCTGCCAGTAGTTCCTCACAGGATGCTGATTGATGATGATGACGTTGAACCACTGTGGTTGGACACAAGGGCATAGCTTGAATCCTGGCAAGATGTGATCTTGCGAGTCCAGCTGCCTCGCAAAGGTCAGCAAAGGAGAAGAAGAACACAGGAAACAAGTTGCTATCCTGATCACCTCCTGGAGGTTTGAGATGTACCCATACTGCAACAGGTTCCTGCCTCTTTTTGTCTTCTTTTTTCCTTTTTCAGAACTCTTTACTCACAAACCAAAACCAGCACTAAAAGTCACTGTCATCCCGAGTTATGTTTCATTCCTATTTAAACATGTTTAAACTTTAACTGAGCAATGAGTTATTCCACAAGAGCAGCATCACAAGAGTGAAACAGAACACGAGTAACACTGACTTGCTCGTAATGGCGGAGCTACAAAACTCCTAGACACTGAACAAAGTGATTGATGTTTTCTGTCTCCCTGCTATGTGCACAACCGCTACCACCGATCTCCTGCTGGGAACGTTCTGAAAACACAAAGACGCGTAATTCACCGCTATATGGTGTGGCTAACGCACGCAATACTGAGACAGAGCAAATTGGTTTCAGTTTAAAAACAGCATAGTTGGCTGGTTGAGTGGGAAGGCAAGGCAAATCAGAAATACCCCGCTACAAAGTCATGAATGCTACAACAGTCTTCACTGGAACAAAACTCGGTTATTCTGAAAAACACTGGCAAGACGCACCTCCTGTTGTCATTCTTTCATATGCTCTCCAGGGGGAAATTTCACTTGTGCCTCACGGTGCTTGAGTTTGTGTTATTGCTTTTCATACATAATTGTACCGCCAACATGCTGTCATTCAAATTGGAGGCGGAAGAGGAAAGATAGAGGGGAAAAAAAAGCAATTTCAAAGCTTGTAAAAAAGAAAAAAAGAAGAAACCTGTGGGAATTACCTCGCCTCCATCTCCATCTGCTTCTGCCTATGTCTTCATTTCTTTCTTCTTTAGAAAGCTAGGGTGTCTGCTATTGACCAGAAACACAATACATTCATATTGATAAGGGGTAGAGAAACTTGCACCGCACAGAGCTATGCAAATGATTCTATCAAATAGAAAACAGCAGATTAAATTTCTATACTATCTTCAGTATTTTCACTTGAAAATCTTATATGGTAGATTGGAGCTGGTGGTTGTATATTTTTGATATCTGAATATTTCCGTAGTTCAGTCAACCTATTTTCCCATCAGCTCCTTATTAGTAAAACTCTACCAAATTGACTCCTCCTATGCTTCCCCTCCACTGCTGTAGAATTTGGTGCAGAATTTAGAGCGTGTCATTTCACACGTCCTCTTGATTTGTACTTTGAATGGAACTGTTGAGCAACTGCATTACATGCTCGTTACACACACACATGTTGTCGGTGATAAGATTGCACCTCTGTTTATGCGCTCAGCTTGAGAGGTTTGGAGAGAGAGAGGGTATGGTTAAAGTTTCTGCCCACTTGCCTCCTGTGTACAGTGGCCAGAATGTAAAGTCTGTGAATGATCCAAAAACATTATGCTGTCAAATGTACTCTTTAAATTAGGGATGCACCATCCACATTTTCACACACACACACACACACACACACACACACACGCAATAAAACAGTGTGCACTGGACCAGAAGTGATTCCTGACAGCCCTTTGTCTTTCTGCCCCTGGCAAAAATCCCGTGCTGTTTCGTGTGTGCTTTTTAAATGTTTGATTGCGTTCGTAGTGTTGTACAGAGGCTAGGGAGCTTCCACCTCCTTCTGAATTACGGCTTTGCAAACATTGCATTTTGCTGTCTTGCTCTGCGGTGTTTCCAGTGTAAAGTATTTCCACACAGCGGACATGTTGGCTAGCCACAATGCTGCTCAATGCTATCCTGCTAGCTGGCTGCAAACTGCAGAATGGATTTCCTGAGCGGGGGCGTGTCTCATAACTCTGTGTCTCATTGAGCCGCGCCGCCGCTCAGGAAATCCATTCCACAGTTTGCAGCCAGCAGACTGGCCGGCAGGAACCACCTGTGGAGTCATTTCAGCAGACAACATTAACGCAGCCATGGCTCATGGATATCGGAAATCTGCGCAGGTTGGATCGGAAATTTCCGATCCGTGAATTACGCTGGTATTGGTCCCGATACCGATACTGGACCGGATTGGCCCCATCCCTACTTTAAATACCCTTAGTAACTCTCAGTAAGACAGTCTTTTCAATATTTAATCACCAAATGGCTCTGGTTTAGAGATAACTTTACTTAATTATTACTTAATTACCCCAGATTCCACTCCTATTGGAGTTTGGTGTATTTGCATTAACCAGATTCAACCTCAACATTATGCAAATAAATCTGTCCAGTGCAACGCACCAGGTTCATGAAACACGGATCAAACTGTCAAACTAGGCAGTGCTAATCAAATATGAAAAAACCTTCTGTTACTCTATTGTAGGCTTGTAAGAAAATATTTTATTTTGTGATTCTCAAAAACACTATCAATTCAGAATCAGAATCACTTTTATTGGCCAGGTATGTGAATACATACAAGTAACTGTATCATGATATGTATCGTATTGCCAATACACTACTGTATTGCCTATTTCTCACCTTCAGTCTTTTCAGAAACATATTTAAGAATACTGTTGTAATACAAGGAACTTTGTCACCAGGCCATTATTCTTTCCTGCTTTAAATGAGCCATAGTCTATCCAATCAACTGAAGTGGAGGATATAAAATATGGAAAACAATCAACATGGTGTAACCTGCATACAGCACCACCCACCAGTTGGAGCGTTTAGTGGACACATCTGGACACACTGCCCCTGTTTCCAGTATCATATTCTAAAATGAAAAAATGCTGCCCTTGCTCTGATCTCAACCCTTTCTCTCCTGTGTTGTTGTATTTTCTCCAGGATCCCGGCCCAGGTTGGAGGATGCGGCTCCCCGCGTCATAGAACACCCGTCTGATCTGATCGTGTCCAAGGGTGAGCCGGCCACCCTCAACTGTAAGGCGGAGGGACGGCCGACTCCGATGGTGGAATGGTACAAAGACGGTGAGCGCGTTGAGACGGACCGAGAGGACCCCCGGTCGCACCGGATGCTCTTACCCAGCGGCTCCCTCTTCTTCCTGCGAATTGTTCACGGAAGGCGAAGCAAACCTGATGAAGGCGTCTATGTGTGCGTGGCGCGCAACTACCTGGGCGAGGCAGTCAGTCGCAATGCATCGCTGGAGGTGGCAAGTAGGTGGTTTTTTGCTGCTTAAGCTCGAGTGCTCAGGTGTGAATGCTGTTTTGTCCTAATGCAGACCAGACACATAAGAATGATGAGTATGAAGGACCGATCAGATATGAGGCTACAACGACACCAAAAATATGAAGAATTCACCTCTCCATGATCATGTGTGAATTCGCACTTAATAATAATGCCTATAAAAAAGGCATTACTTGTTCCCAAAAATGTTGAGCTGGAGAGAACATCACACACAAGAGAACAAAAGGAACGTAGTCAGTGTATAGCTGAGAAAAAAAATAGCTGTGATCGCCCAGTACTTGTCCACATATCAGGTGTCAAACATCATGTTATGTATTATGTAGTTCCAGTAGTAAGGAAGGAATTAAATCACAGACAGATTTCACCAGTAATAATGTTAGCTGCACTATAAAAGCAGAGGAGTGTAGGGGCAGCTTTAAACTACTCTCTGGTCTACTATCATCACCATCACTCGACTGAGTTAACTTAAGACGCCACCCCTGACCTTGGTGTCAGATCTCCTGGCAGCTTGCACCCCGAGACCACCCCAGCCCTCATCCTCCCCCCCAGACACCACATCCTATCTTCTCCCGCTCCAGAAAGCCTGGCCTCTGTCGTGTCGGCCCCTGTGACCAGGCCTGTTAATGTAGATGGATGACAGCTTGCTCCTGCGAAAAAGATAACAGTTGTCGCCACTGGACAGGAAAGCAAAAAAAACTTTCTTGCTGGGAAGGGAGGGGAGGAGTTTTGGTTTGGCAGCCTCTCACTAGCAGATGTTTAATTCCTTTAAAATACAACAAACTCCTGTCAGATGGGTTTCCAACAGACAAGAGTTTTTTTTCTCTCCATAGCAGGGCTGCTGGTGATCAGTGGCACTTTAATGAAATGCAGATAGGGCCAATTAAAATCTTCCCTGTCAGATTAGGCCATTACCTTCACTGTTATAAACTCACTATAAAGTATAACTTTGTTTTGACAGCACCAGCAGGTAATGTAAAGAAACATAGGCAGTTTGTATGAATACAAATATAGTTGAGGGGATGTTTGTTGCTGCACCCAGGTACGCGTTGTTGTGTGACTTGTGTTTTCAACAGACTACAAATCAGGTGCCGTTGAATTATTCATATTATGGAAGAAATGACTGAAAGTACTTGTACTTGTCACACAGCTGAAACACAAGATGAACTTTTGCCTCTGTTATCTTTGCTTATCTACTAATTTAGACAAAAATGAGTCTTGACAGCACACTGCTAGCAGCTTTTGCACAGAGAAGATTCAAACATTTCCTCTAATCCGTTCACTCCGGCCTTTCCTAATATCATCCGCCCTTTAAAACACGAACCATCTCAGGAATTTCTCACTGCGCTAATGCAAACCAGCTGAACGTGGTGAAAACTCCATTCCCTGTAAAAAATCGGTGAAACCCTAGACCCCCGTGAAACACCTTACGGTCGGCATCATATTTTCCTGAATGGCCCCAGCCCCTAACTTAATAATCAGGCTGAATTTCCCCTGGCTGCCTCTGCAGAAAAACAGCCCGCGAATCATTCTCCATCCTCCATAAACAGCTGGGATCTGTGCTGTGTGTCCGTCACCTTTCCCTAAAAGCGTTCCTCTAGCAGCGTGAAGAATTACCTTTCACCTTGTTCTTGCTCTGTTTAGGCATCAACATCAGAAGCAGCAGGGTATTTGTAATATAAGCTGTATATGGAAACAAGTAGAATAGGTGGAGGTTTTGTGAATCACTTTTCACAGAGCTGCGTATGAAAGAGTGGAGGAATAGAGCGGACAGATGCCAACAATTCCTCACTCCCCATGAATAATCCCTGATGTTTTTCTCTGCACTTTCTCTGTGCTGTGCTAGTTTTGAGCTCTGCTTCTAACTTTGAAAGAAGTCGTTTTTGCTCTTCTATTATTAATATTATTAAGAGAGTCAGTTCCCTTGTAGGCCAACAGGATCTCAAGCAAGGCTCTGTGAGGTTGTGCAGGGTCATGTTTATAGTCAAAAGTGTTGTGGTGTGTATTCTGAGACTCTTTAATACCAGTGTGTTTCAGTGTGCAATGCCACGTAGCTGATCAGTCTGTTGCATGCATTGTGATTCTAGCTTCAACGATAATGTCCCAGTGCAGAAAAGTCACAAATCGATAATGTAAAGCTAAATTCTCATCATGATTGGCTGTAACAAAACAGACAGGCAAAGGCAAAATAGCAGTCCTCCGCATGAGCATGTGCAACAGGCACGTACGTTCCTTACACTGAACCAATTTGATGGTAAAACTTAACGAATGAGAACATGTGCACCATGTTTTCATTCTAAACTTGGCCAACAGTTAGCTAATGAGTTTTGGAGAAGATGGCTGAGCCATAGCAACTGAAGACAAATCCAATCTGATCATGGACATATATAAAGATGGACAAGGTGCAGCATAGATCATAAAGCCTGCGGCCTCCATGTTAGCAGATGGGACATGGGCCAAACTAAAAAAGTCTAATTACACATCAAATAAGTTTTTCCCAAAAGTTGGTTTTTGTCATTTTTGGTAGTTCCTATCATGCTGATGTGTGTTTATATTTTGGCTTCATTCTTGTACAGTGGAAGGAAGTCTGTCTTACGTCATACGTGGATGCATCCAACCGACAACCCCCTAGCTTAGCAGCAGCTTTTTATCAAGTGTTTTAGAACATGCTGAAATGTGTGCAGAGAAATGCATTGGTAAATGTAATCTTCCAGGGGACACTACTATTAATAAAAGACAACAGAAGTAAATTCATCAGCTTATCAATACACTAGGTTTTACAAGTAGCAAGTAGCCACACAGAGAGAAAAAATAAATCATAGAAATAAAAAAATGTTGGTACATTGAGATGCATCTATAATTGTTTCATAATCGCATAGTGGCCCTCTGCATCAAATGAAACTGTTAGGTTCCTAGAGATTTCCGCCGCTACATGCACAGCGACACAAATTGCAGCACAGCCATAGCTCTGACAGATAAGAATCCCAAACCCATGGCAGTAGAGGAAAAACTGCAAGTGTGTGTGCTTTGCATGTCTTCTTGCGTGTGGGTCTGCCTGCACACAAACCCACAAGCACACTTTTGGAGCATTGCCTCCAGAGAGACACAGAGAGAGAGAGGTTATACAGAACAAACAGTGGCCAGAGCCAAAGTCAGGCCAATGCCAGCTCCTGCCAGCCCCCTCTGTGTGGCACCAATGGGGCCGGAGATAAGGCCACAGGCGCATAAGCCCGCCTGGAGTTGCCATGGGGCTCAGCATGGCACCAGAGAAGGCACAAGATGGCACTTTGTGGCACGGTGTCACTTCAGCTCCCCAGCCTGTGACTTGGAAGCACTGGGGGCAAACTGAGAGGGAGCTGCATTGTGTATTGGTGTGTATATTTGGTATCGGAGCAGGAGCCAACACAGCGGGAAGGGTGGACGGTTCAGGAGGTTTAACCCCTCACAGTCCATCTGCTGTAGGCTGAGAGGCGATGGCCACTGAGCTGCAGTATGGATGAGCTGGCAGAATTTTGCAGTGTTGACAAACATACCTGACTTGAGTTTGCCTGGAGGTGTTTCATGCCGTACGTTTATCTCTTTGTGTAATCTTTTTAAAGTAGAGCTTCTACTACAGACATTGTCTAGACATTTTCTCACGTGGAATTGAAGCAGCAGTTGATAAACGAGTCCTCAGAGGTTAAACAAATGTAACAGCAGACTCTCCATCATCTAAGCTGTAGTTTGAAAGTGCTCAAAGTTATGAATTTCAGCTTTAACGGGATACTCTCGAAATCTATCTTTTGAAGATCAAACACCCTGTGCAGGCTTTAAAGGTGGCTGTAACATGTTTGTAGATTCCTCACTGACGGAGAACATCTGCTGTAGCTCGGGTTCAGCCCATTGTACTTTATTCCAGTGGTGGAGAAATATCAGAAAAGTATTTCACACAACCCCTGTATTGTTCTCAATTCACATATTCAGTCTCATATTTCTCACAGCTTTCAGTGGAATTGTTATTCAGTGTGATGGACACAGGTACCATGTCATATACAAAGCACACACATTCTTTACTCAAGTAGAAATACAGATACTTGTGCAAAAAAGTACAAGTACTGATTCACCTTCTTTATTCAAGTAAAAGTGGAAAAAGTACAGGCTCTGAAATATAAAAGTAAAAAGTACTTGAGGGCCAAGTCTCCCTCTTCTGTCTGTGTCGTGTTATGTCATTACGTCTTTTACGTCATTTTCGTCATTTTCGTAATGCGTGATCTTGATGGCGCGCAATAATGCAAAAAAAGCGTTTAGTATAGCACCAATTCATAACAAAAGTTATCTCAGGACACTTTTCAAATTGGACTAGACCATACTCTTTCTAAAATTAGACACAACAGTTCCCACCATAAGCAAGCACTTGACGACAGCAGCAAGGAAAAAACTTTTAAGAGTCAGGAACCTCGGACAGAACCCGACTCTAAGTGGGTTCAGGTGATTATACTGGAAACATAGTTATGCATATTATATTCCATTTCTGCCAATATATCCTCCTCAGTGTTACATACTGGACCTTTAAGTACCGTAACAAAGTATTTGTACTTACTTACTTCCCACCTTCAGTCATACAATGATTTTGACCTGTTGGTGGTCTAGATAAAAACTCAAAAGTACTGAAGATTCATCCTCTGGGAAGTCTATTAAATAGCTTTTGTGATGTTTAACTCTAGACTAGCATTACTCTCACTAGACCTTTGCCACTAGTCTGACTACAATTTTTAGAATAGTTGTATCTGGAAACAATTTGATAGGTCAGTGTCATCCCGAGTGTTAGAAATACATGATTTATTTTGAATTATGAACATGGCTAGTTATGGAAGCTGAATGCTTTAGCAGGTTTTGTACTTCACCCCATTACCCCCACTAGTTGTAATATTGACTGTGCTTTTTTCCTGGACAGGGACAATCATTCTTAATCATTATTTCCCAAGTGTGTGAA